CTAATGAGATGCATTAGACTCACCTGTGCACCATGCATTTCAAAGACAATGGTGCCTAAAGTGGAACATGGTGGTGGCAGTGTCCTTATGTGGGGCTGCATGAGTGCTACTGGTGTTGGGGAGCTGCATTTCATTGATGGTATCATGAACTCAAGAATGTACTGCTCAATACTGAAGGAGAAGATGCTGCCATCACTTCGTGCACTTTTCCAACACGACAATGATCCAAAACACACATCTAAAGCTACTGTTGCATTTCTGAAGAAGAACAGGGTGAAGGTGATAGAATGGCCAAGTATGTCTCCTGATCTGAACCCAATCGAATACCTGTGGGGAATTCTGAAGCAACAAGTTGAGCATCACTCTCCATCCAGCATTCAGGCTCAAAAAGAGCTTATTCTTGAAGAATGGAAAAAGATAGATGTTGCAATATGTCACCATCTTGTTCATTCCATGCCTAGAAGGCTTGGTGCTGTCCTTAAAAATCATGGTGGTCATACAAAATACTAGATGTGGTAGTTTTTGTTGCGGGGTGTATTCATTTTTGCTTTAAAAAATTTGAGTAAAACTGAAGATTTTGTGATCTAAGTTATATTAATAAGCTTAATTTCATGTTATGGAGTTAAACAAGTGTTCAATAAAACTCAGCCTTGTGAACATTTTGGAAATTGTCCTTTTGTTCATTGACCTACTGATTAAATTCGTACTTTTTAAAGTGGGTGTACTCATTTATGCTGAACACTGTATATTCATGTGTCTGTGCGAGTGGGCGTTTCTCTGTTTTTACCGTTTTGTTTTTTGACTTTTAAATATCTTGTTTCATGTTTGTATAATATGCTTGATCTTTTAACTTTTTATATATTAACTATAAATGAACTAGCATAAAAGAAAGTGTTTTAATGGTTAATAAGTGATTAAATGTTTTTTTTAAATAAACCCCTTCTTTCAGCTCCATGGAGCGCTGGTTTGTTTGGTTTGGTTTGTGAGGATCTGTAGGGATCCAACAGCAACTTTTAGCTCCTTGGAGTGTTACCACAGCTTTGCTAAAGACTGTTTCTGAAAGTCTTGTCATGACTGTGTGGTTTGCAAGGTGTACGACCCTTGCTGGTAATTCTACCAAAGACACATTTTAAGAGCATTTGGTGCCCGGCAGGTGGTTATTACAGATTCGGCTCACTGTGTACAACAGTTGGCATAGATGTGACCTCAATCTGCACACTGTGGAGACTCTCTGTGCAGTATTCACTGTTCGAGTGCCTGCAGGCCTCCCGTCACGTTGAAGACCAAAGACCTTTGTAATATAACATTTTAAAGCAGTTTTACATCCAAACTGAGCACAGGATGAACGATAATGAGAATGCCAAGATTCTGAGCTTCTTCCTGAGTATTTGGGAATTTTGGCACTGTTGTCTTTGTGTGTTTTCCAAATTGGAGAGATCACATGATTCTCTGTTAAAGCTAATATTCATTAGCTGCATCCAGAATGATTCTACACTATAAATGTTTTTCTCTGAAAACTTTTCTCTCAACTTGTGATTTTTATATATTTTTTAATACATTTTATAGATGATCATTAACCAAGAAATGTCAGATATGCGTAGCCCAAATACAAAGAATTCTCTTTAAAGCCAATGATTTATAATAAACACAACACGGGCCTGCATGGGGAGCAGGGATTCATTTGAGGTCAGGAAATCAATGCTGTTAATCGCTGTAAGAGTCAGCGTGACGGTAGATCGGTGCAGAGTCAGCAGAAATTGCGGCGTTGTCCCACACCGATATGGTTGACAGATAGCAGAGCATGACTGCGCTCGGAGAAAAATCTAAATGAGTTTCCACTGTAGGAAGTCTTGGCTCTTTGTGGTGAGGCGAGGTGAGAAGAGGACAAACAGTCCCTGTTCCTTCACACTGAGGTGGTACAGACATCTGATCAAGATGCATTCTGGGTACTTTTTATCAATGTTCAAGTGCATCCAACTAGTAGGATACCTCAGTATACACCCATCTAGCCAATTAACTCCACACGATCCCTAAGGTGGAGCAGGGAAACACTGCTCGGGAGAGTGATGTCTTGGCTTGCTCGGCGTCCAGATAAGCAGCAGAAAATGGACTCGAAACAGTTTAGATTTCTTTTCCTACAGGCACAATGTCACCTGATATTTAAAGATTTTACTGTTCTTATATTTAAACAAAATGCAAAGCATTTCTGCCTTCTGTATTAACAGTGCAGAGATTAGTATGTTTCCTCACAGTCAGCTCTGGGTCTTTTGTTCTACTCATGCCTGACAGATTTCCTCCAACGGTCTGATTGCATTTATTTTAGGCTAACTAGTGATTCTTAGTATGCAATTCAATGCAAAGACACTTTATTTTATACCTTTTAATGCATGAATTTCCTGTACAAATACAGGGATAAATAATTATTATTATCTAAAAAAAAAAAAAAAAGACTCGACTGACTCATTTCTGGATGGTGGAAGTGTGACATCAAAGACTGATTGACAGCAAGGAGGATAATTAGAGGGAAAAACTGTTCAGTCGCCTTTATGGAGCAAATCACAGCTACCCACAAGTGCAGTCAATCACCACATCATGTAGATCTTGCGGGAGCCCTCAGCTGCATCATCTGTCAGGAGAGGTTAGTTACCATGCAAAGAAACTAAACAGCCCTTTTGACAGAAAGCATGGGCAGCGTAACAGCTTACTAGACTGTGTCAAAGTGTCTGAAAAGCTGGGGTGGTAAGGTAATCATCAGTTGTTATTAACCTCTGGCTCTCTTTCACAGCATCTCTTTTGTCCCGTCTCCCTCCCCTGACCCACAACCAGTTGCAGCAGATGGCCCCGCCCCTCCCTGAGCCTGGTTCTGCCGGAGGTTTCTTCCTGTTAAAAAGGGAGTTTTTCCCCTCCCACTGTCACCAAAGTGTTTGCTCATAGGGGGTCATATGATTGTTGGGTTTTTCTCTGTATGTATTATTGTAGGATCTACTGTAGAGATGGGCCGATCCGATATTACGTATCGGTCCGATACTGACCTAAATTACTGGATTGGATATCAGAGAGAAATAAAAAATGTAATCAGATCCGTTAAATATCAAAAAAGCACCTCAAAAAACTTGCAACACTCCGTAACTCGCCTCATAACCTTAGCACATCGGAGCAGTATGCGTCACGTGATAGAGCGGCTGTGGCGTGCGAGACCTCTCAGCGATCTGGTTGAGCATTTGGAGCCTCGCTACCAACCCGGCATTTCATCTCCGACAAAGTTATCCCCGAGAGAAGTAAAGCAAGTGTGTAAGTCCATCTCTGAATGTTTGTAAAGCATTCCCGCGTTAAGCTTAACAACCGATATATGGAGCGACTGCCTCTCTCTCCCTCCCTCTCCTGCTGCTACTTCGATCATGAAACTGATCAGTGATCAGCTGATCGGCTTTTCTGTCGCGAGTCCATCTCTCTTGTTTGTTTATCGCCCACTTCGCACCAGAAAGAGGAAACCAGCGGCTGAACAACAGCAGCACGTTTAAGCTTGATAAGCTGTTGTTAGAATTTATTTAATATTACTTTCTACTCGAGGATCTTTTTCTACGCAGCTAACGGCTGGTAACTGTGCAGGGGCGGATCTAGCAAAGTTTAGCCAAGGGGGCCGATGGGGCATTAACAGGGAAAAGGGGGCACAAAGTCATACTTTTCTTTCTTATTCTCATTTAAAATGTGTAGCTTTTAATAAATAATTATCCGAATCTTACACCCAAAGTTTTAATCTGATGAAAAATGTATAGAAGTCAATTACTGTATATAGTAACTATTAAGTCTAATATACCCTAGTAAGCTATAGTACTTTTTCCATCTGTGCAGTCTGCAATTCTGTTGAAGAAAGATGCTGAATCTATTTAATTATTCTTGAAAAATAGTTTATTTCTGTCCATTTTTTCCCCACACTGCATGAAATTAAAGTTGATTACGTCGATTAAGCATCATGAGGTGGAGGGTGGGGGGTTCCCCCATTTCTTTTTTTTTTTTGCTTGAGTTTGCAACCCTATTAGTTAGGTTGCTTACTCTTTAAAATACCAGAATAGGGAGGATGGTGTAGGTTTTGATCAGTATTTCTGAACTATGAAATATTTTGGGTGCAGTATATTTTTTTTGCATACAGGTATAACAAAATAACTTTAGTGTTTGTTTGTTTTTTGTAACTTGAGTATGAACTTATACAAAAATCAGCATGATATCAAAAAAAAAACCACTATAACTGATTCATATCGGTATCGGAAGATATCAAAATGTTTGATATCAGATATAAAAAAAGTGGTATCGTGCCATCTCTAATCTACTGTACAACATAAAGTGCCTTGAGGTGACTGTTGTTGTGATTTGGCGCTGTATAAATAAAATTCAATTCAATTCTGCCAGAGGTTTCGTCCTGTCAAAAGGGAGTTTTTCTTCCCACGGTTGCCTTGCTCATATGAGGTCATCTGATTGTTGAGGTTTTGTCTATATTATTGTAAGGTTTTTAGCTTAGAACAGAAAACACCTCACAGCAACTGAATTGAATTTTCCTCAAATACGCTCAGATACAGGTGAACCTTGAAGTGTTGGCTCACCCTTTTAAGTGCTGCGGGCATAAAAAAATTTGAAAGAAATTTTATTTACAGTTTTTTTTAATGCACATTTAAAAAAAAAAAACAAAAAAAAACCAGCTGCTTGTTTAAGTGAAAACACAATGATGTTTTGTTTTTTTTGCACTAATAAAGTTGTGGAGTTCTAAAGTATTTTGTCTGGTGTCAATTATATTGTCAGTTATATCATCGCAAATTTTCAAATGTATATCGTGATAAATATTTTTGGTCATATCGCCCTGCTCTAATACCAATATCACAAGTTTATTAACAGGCCTTTAGATATTAGGATGAATATCTTCATAACGTTGCTTTGATTTTAGATTTTTAAAAATTCAAACCAAAGTAGAAGATATTATAACTCGCCTTGTAATGATAGAAAGTAGCAAATGTTTTGAATCTTTACTGGTAAAAACAGTCTTTACTTGTGTAAATGTCACAAAGAAGCTTCTTAATGCACGCAATGTGACAAATAAATAGAAATGTCTTTATACTCCTTACAGGGTCCACGTCTCAACACTCCCTGCATGGCTCAGGCTGAGGGGAAGAAGCGGTCCGTGGACAAAGACGGCACTAAAAAGAGTCTTGCGGGTGAGCAGGGCTAGGGCTGAACATCAGTGATTTTCCTCTTGCGGTAGTTGAGAACCAGGCTGGAGGCAGTGAGCTGCGAGGCCTGCCCCTTCTCCCAGCTCTGGAAGCCGTTTAGGCCGCTCTGGCCAGACCTGAATAGAGCCTTCTCCAGACAGTCCAGACGCTCCACGAACGCTGACGTGTCCTCGTTGTAGGCGTTCTGGGAGGAGTCCATGGTTCGCCTGAAGCGAGCGATAAATGTCTGGATGGAGGACAGCAGGAAAAGTTTAATGTGCAGAAACTCACCAAGCAGTGAATGTATTTTACATTTTAGGCATGTTTGCAAAGTTTTCAATCAGAGTGACCCAGTTTGTGCAACACAGCTCACCTTTGATAATCATTTTAATGCTAAACTTCAGACATGTAGAATTTCATGTTTTCAACTTTCAGGCAAAACTTCAAAGCTTCAAAAAAAGAAGAAAAAAAAAAGAAAAAAAACTTGATCTCAAAAATATTGGCGGTAACATCAGAGTGTGTCTAAACATGGCTCTCCCCGTTGCTGCTACATTGAGCTGTAACATTAAATTAAAAAAGATAAACGATTATTTTCAATAACAGTTAATTTGCTTTTTCTATTTCACATTTAAAAAAAAAAAAAAAAAAAAAAACAACTTCACAGGAAGAACAAAATGAAATTGTGGGTCATCCAAGTACGTCAACATGAGCATTAAGGTTTGTTCCCAGGATATTTTAATTTAACCCGGCTTTTGGAATAAACATTTAGTTTACTCCAAAGGCCGGGTTACAGGTTGGGAGGCAGGTGTCACAGCGATCAGCATCGACCCCAGCCGAGGCCTTTGTGTGGAGTTTGCACGTGATTTTGTCATGGGGATGATTACGTCATTAATTCATTACTAGTATTTCAGAATCAGAATACTTTATTAATTCCCAAGGAAATAATTTAGGATTCAATATCAGCAGATATCTGAAGTAATGGTATCGATATCAGATAGGACTTGGACAAAAGTGGGTCAGTGCATCTCTAGCACAGAAGGATAGCCACACAAATATATTATAGATCCAGCTGTGACAATATAGATCAATACTAACATGTGTGACTCGAACATTGAAAAAAAATTACTATTTCAACAAGAAACTTAAACAATTTAAAAAAAAAAACAAAACAACAAACTGTTATTTTTCTGTCAATCACTATGCCACCAGACTGATTGCCACCTTTAGTTTTCTATTTTTTCAGTCAGAATGCAGTCGTGCATTATTCATAACTAGGGGTTCTGACAAACGGTAGTAACCAGACCGAAAGGCAGCGCACATTTCGGTGCTTTATTTTTCCCAAGCTGTGATACACTTCTAGCCAATCGTTTTACGTTTCCGAGGATAGTAGGCGGGTCCAGGTACGTACGTTTTTTTTTAGAGCAGAGCTACAGATTAAAAATGCCCAAGGCAAAGCGGTCAAAAGCCTGGCTATACTTCACAGCAAAATATGCAAACTCAGCAGCAACAAGTGCTATAAGCTGATACTGTGATACTGTCAAAGGAGGTAACACCTCGAATCCGATGAAACACCTGGCGACGCATAGCGTTTTTTTTTAAAAGCCCAGAAATGCGCCGTATTTGATAGCTTGCTGCGAGACCTCACACCGAGCACATCTACTGCGGGTGGGTTGCCTGTTATCGGACCCGGAGTTAGCAACATCCCCCAAAAACACGAAGAGGAGAGTCCTGGCCCCTAGCCCTGTCAGTGTAGCAGAAATGATGACGGATGATGATGGCAGCAGCAGCCGTTCTTCTCTGCGTGAGTAGCTTAATGTTGTTCGTGTGTAATTTACGTTGAGTAGTCTAACCATGTTATTACATTAATGCAGGTAAGGTGAACTAGCAAACATCGTCATAGCTACATGCAGCTGTCTTCTTGTTTGATGGCAGATACTCCCTTCACCCTGGCAAAAAAGGCTAAAATGACCAAAGAAAAAGTGGAAAACAGTTAAACATGAGAGGTTTTGGACAAAGTTTGTGTTTTTTCCATTGTTTAAGCACTGCTTCCAGCCAAGAGTGATACCATATATGCCCCATAGCTGCAGAAAAGGCTAACATTGTTATCTTTTTACAAAAAACCAGCTGAACATGAGAGGTTTTTGGACCAACTTTGTGTTCTCCATTCTTTAAGCACCGGTTTGAGCACCGTTTGAGCACCGGCACCGTTTCAAAAGTACCGGTTTGGCACCGGTATCGGATAAAACCTAAACGATACCCATCCCTATTCATAACTGATAAATTTCAACACGACAGATTAAGCTATTGTGCTCACGTTAAAAATAATCTTACAGCTTCTAACAGTTTGAGTTATGAGAGGCTGCAAAGAGCTCTGAACATGTGTTTCTGTTTGTGTGTCAGAGTCAGGTTAAAGTGAGTCTGCCTGGTAACAGCAGCACTGTAACACTTCCTGAGCTGACTGCACCCCCTAGCTGTGATGAAGAGAGTAACACTGGTTTATCAGTGAATGTGTGTCCTGTGAGCATTTTTAATAAAACGTCTGGGCTGCTGCTTCTGTCAGTCAGCTACACCAGGACAAATCCTCTTTCCTTAAACAAGACTAAAGAGTGCAGTAACACATGCACAAAGTTAAAGACTCACTTTCTAATCTCATATCTGTTCATTTATGCAACAAATAAATCTCACGTTCAGATTTCTGCTTGACACAGAAGGTGACATCAGAGCCATGAAACACTGTGACCTCTTTACAAGGAAAAACTTCATGTCTGGCTGCAGAGAGAACAGTGGTCTGCCCCTGCTGGTCCAGGAACGCATAACATACCATCAGCACGCGTTTGATCTTGGTGTTAATCCAGCAGAAATCCTTTATTTGGAGGGCTTAGCACCTCAGAGGATGAGAAGACTGAAACAGGGCTTAAAACAGAGAAACGTTCTGTGCCTCATCAAGTGGGGAGGAAATCAGATACCACATTTCGTGAATTCTGGACAGTTTTTAATGCACCACTCTGCACCTTTTCTCCATCAAACATTGTACAAATGTCCACGATTAATACATTCCTTTTAAGCCATTTATCACCCTCTGCATTTAGTAACTCACGTGTTTAATCAAATGGTTCTGCTCGTGTTCAAAAGTTACAAAAATCTGTTTTGGGAGCAATTTTAACAAAACTGTACATTAACCTCTTCATTCAGATTAGCAATTAATCTAGAAAGCTACACATGCATAGCTGAAAAACATCATGCAGGTGTTCCTCAGCGGGAAAACAAAACTGTTGTATCCAAAGTATAACTTTTTAGAAAAATTCAGAAGTATCCAACACAACTGTTTCAAACTTTTCAGTTAATTCCTGCACCCTCAAAGAGGTTTAGGCCATCCAAGGAAACAAGCAGTCATATATTCTTGTTATCTAATAGCTTAAAAAAAATGAATAATTGAAGTAAATCTGTAATATCTTCCTGATTGGAAATGGGTTAAAACTGCACAGCTTTCTCTATAAGCATCTGCACAGCTTGCTAAGAAATATGGCCTCGGTCATTCTGGTTAACTACAGAAAAAGTGTCGAAATTGGTTCAGGAGGTAGAGCGAGCTGTCTACCAAACAGAGGTTGTTGGTTCCATTCCTGGCTGCTTGAGTCCACATGTTGAAATGTTCTTTGGCAAAGATACTGAACTCTAATTGGCCGATTCCATCGACCGGTGTGTGTGACAGTCAGCATGTGCTCAGTGGCACTGTGTGAATGTGGCTTTCAGTAAAGTCTGCTCCTCTTTGAGTGCTCAGGCATAACAGAAAAGCACTCCATAAGAGTCAGTCCAGTTACCAAATCTGCATGTTATATAATATTTCAGCAGCTGAGTCTGAATAGTCATGATATACACGATAATTATATACACCCTGAATTTCTATTGGAGGAAGCATTTTTGGTAATAATGGAAGCACTTTTACAGTAAAAGATGGATGGAGTTATTTCAAGCCTGCATATTAAACTTACATCACACAAGGATCAGTTTACCTGGAAATCATTAAGCAGCATTACTGCCAGCAGCAGTCAGACACCACATTTAGGAGGTTTTAGGAAAACAACATGAATGCTTTAAGATACTCTGAGACCTTCAGACACTTTGATAATAAGACAAGGACAAAAAGGTGTAGCAGGAACGGAAAAGATACAAGAGCCATGCAAAGGCTTCAGTGACAGTATGTTTCAAAGGCGATCGCAGTCACGATGACCAAGCACAGGCTCCAATTTCTTTTTTCCATCTTCCACCTCATACAAAGTGCAGAAATTATCCTCACTTGCAAAACACGAGTAGAAAGTGACAGTCAGAATGGGCCGTCGGTATAGACAGCTTAAGCTGGACTCTTTCATTTGTTTTCCTTCAGTTTTTTTTTTTTTAAATATTATGAGTGGCAATAAAATGAGCTGCTCAGGTACAAACCATCTGTACACAAAGATCAATACGCAGACAATCCAAAACTCTGGTGGCAACTTAAAATTCCACCCATGCACTCATTTTAAAATGTTGAGCTTTTAATGAAGAGTCCACTTAATATCTGCCACCACAAGAAGCTAATGGCTTGTACTTCTCCTGTAGGTCTGCCTCACCTCCCATAGCGCGCGCACACACACTGTTTTCACGAATCTGCAGACATGCTGTGTCCTTGATGAAGGAAATCAATCACTGCACATGTCATGTGGAATAAAAACCTCTGTCTGATTTATATATGTATTATTTCATGGCTGTGCAGCACACACCTGCTATTATTACAGTGGGTCTTAGTCTGTGTTTCCTTTTTTCCTGTTACAATGGTGGCTGCTCATACTAAACATGATGAAACCTGAGGCAAATACTAACATATACAGGATAAAGCTGGCACTTCTATAATATCTTTCTACTCAGTTGAGTAATCAGAGCACTTTCTACTGCAAATTTCATTCACCCAATCATACACACATTCACACAGGCCTTTTGTCTATCCCTAGTCACTTCAACACATACGGGCCAAACGAGGGTTCAATATCTTGACCAAGAACACTTCTGACTGGAGGAGTCGGGGATCGATCCACCGTCCTACCAATGGAGTAACTACCACCTGAGCCACAGCTGCTGGCATCACTTAACCAAACATTGGTGATCAGGCTCAACAGCCACCCCAAGGTGCTTATAAACTCAACAAGCCACGATTTAGCATTCGCAAAAAGAGTCAGTATTTGGAGTGCGTGACCAATGAAATGGAATAAGAGTAAAAAAAACATAACGTGTGTCGCTTATACTTCTTACAATCACAGCTCTATCATTAAAACACAGGCGGCTGTGACTGTAATTAAAACTGTATTTAGTTCAATTAAAATGTTATTTACTTGTATCTAAGATAAGGTTGGCTATATTGTTTCAGCTGCAGTTCTGAAAAATAAGGCAAGTTAGTGAAGGACAAACACAGAAGCCTAAATCAAAGAAGTAAGTAGGCTCACTAACAAATTTTATATAAGATCGGCGACACAGCTTAGGTGCCTGGTTTTATGATCAATAAAACCAGGCCAATAGGTCAATAAAAGTGTTTAAAATTTCCCTACAGAATAAATAAAAAAACAAAACAAAGAATGAAAAAAAAAAAAAAACAACAACAAAAACAGCAGAATTAAGTTCCTAAGAATCTATTCTTCTCAATAATGTTTTTAAGACTTTAGACACTCATACCGTGTCCAGACTAGGGCTGCCACGATTTGTCGACTAGTCACGATTACGTCGACTATCAAAATCGTCGACGACTGATTTAATAGTCGACGTGTCGTTTGAAGCTTTGTAAGATCCTGAAAAACGCAGGAATAAGTAGCAGGATTTAAGAGTGTAATAACGGACTGAAACAGAAGATGGCAGCACTGCATGTACAAGGATGCCAGCTGCCGTTAAACCCCGACGAAGAAGAAGAAGCAGCTGTGTCCCAGAATTCATAGCGCGGCCCAGCTTAGTTTCCAACAATGGCGGCAGCTAGTTAGTTTTAATATTACTCTTATTATTCTTTCTGGGTCACAAAATAAACGTTTAACATATTTTCAGGCGAGAATGTAGCTGTGTAAACCTCAAATATCGGCTCAGTTTATCAGGACACCACATATTTTCAAAAGCGCTCCGACGTCTTCGGAGACGTCTGTTACCCACTAGCTCGATAGCTAGCCGGGGGCTAGGTCACTAGCGCCGTGAGAACACCGGACTCCCGGCAAATTGTTTTCAAACCCACCGCCGTCTTTCGCGACTCAGGTTAAATATATATGAGTCACTTAGATAAATTAAAAATGTTGTTGTTTGGCTTTTTTTTTTTTTGTATTTTATTTGTTCCTGAGTAAATCGGTTTGGCTGAGATTAAAGTTATAGTTTTTACACAGCTGAATAAACGTCAAGCAGACAGCTGATTATCAGAAGTGTGAGATGCTGGAAAATATACTCCGGTGTCCTGTTATATTTTAGATAGCAAGGAGTTTATTAAACTTTACCGAAACAATCTGCAAATTTCATTAAAATTGAATAAACTATCATCTTGTCTTTATTTTTAGTTAGCACCTTAAAAGCTTAAAGCTGTAAGCTAATGATAGTTATATAAGAGCAGATGCTGCTGGTGCAATAAGCTGTAGTTTTACGTCCAGTGGATGATGATCTGATTAGTTGACTAATCGCATAAATAATCGGTGACTAGTCGACTATCAAAATAATCGTTTGTGGCAGCCCTAGTCCAGACAGAGGTCTGAAAGATGGTGACACTATTTTCCAGACACCTGTTAATTTCTTAAGTCGAACCTAACATGCTTTGGAGCAGGCACTGCAGGACAGTAAAAGATAAATAAGGATTATTTTGCACTTTCAGTGATGCAGATCTACTCTTTTTTTTTATTATTAATCCTTTATTTATCCAGGTAAAAAATCTCATTGAGATTAAAAATCTCATTTCCAAGAGAGACCTGGCATCATGGCAACAAAAGTCACATACCACATAGGTATATAACACTCTGGTCTCTCTCATCCTTGATTACCTCCATGTTAACGTTTGTTTTTTTTACCTGCAGCAAAGTCTGTGCGATCTCAGGATTCTCTGGGCTGTCAAAGTGCAGCATCTGGGATCCCAGGCCATAGTAGTAGGGCCCCATCTTATGGAGGTCCACCACGTTGGGATCAGCATTGAACACGGTCCTCCAACCCTCTTTGTACACCTTAGGAAGCTCCACAGAGACCACTTTCCTCTTCCTCTCGTACAGGCCCTTGGTCAGCCACAGAGGAAGCTCCATCTTTGTACCCTGGGATGAAACAAAAGACAGTGATGGAGTAACAATACCCCGGCTCTCTGGAGCTCTAATAGTGCTACAGGGGTGTGTTTTGGTGTACACCGGATTTTTTAAAAACTCCAAGACCTCACATGTACTAAAGCACTGTTCACTTTACTGTAATACCTACAGCAAGGCTTGACGTTACCTGCTCCTTTATGTACTTAGAAATATTGCTTTTCAAATGTAGTTTATTTGTTTAGTAGTAGATTTTTAAGACTAGTACCACCTTCTGGTAGCCGACTGAAGAACACTTGCGATGCTAACTAGCTGAAGCTTAAGCATACACAAGTTAGAAATTTTGATACTGGTATAGTTGTTCGCGTTTATAAATACGCCGAATTTACACGCGAGTCCTGTCTATCCTTGAACGCTGGAAACTGCTTTTTCGAAGATTCTCCCTTTATAAATACAATGACATAAACAAAAGTATCAAAAATATGAATGAAGTTTAGCGAGATGTAAGTAGCTTTGTGAAAAAGATAAACGGGCGATTCCGGTACTTTTGGTTTACTTGTTTTAGCATAAATACATTCGCAAAACTTTAACTGTTATGTGTTTACCGACCTCCGGGATGTCCTGCGTGTCACTCGACTTCTCCAGAAAGCCAAGCCGAGGGAAAGTGCACTCTGTCCGGATAGGAAGTCTCTCATGAGAGAGCAAAATATCGTCCAAAGACAGGAAATTCTCCTCCATACCCACCCCAGGCGGTACGGGAAAATACGACTGCGTGTCCATTTACGTTTGAATAATCTGTAAAGCGGTCAGTAACAAAAATACTTTTAGTAAACTGTTATTGACGCAACCCAGCTCCGCTATGTTTACAGTCTGTTTTACCTTTGCTGTTTTGGCGCCAGAAAATATGACGAAACAACCAGAGCGGCAGAGAGCTCAAGACCAGAGCAATCGATTGCTAGTGAAAATCAAACGAAAATCAGTTATCGATTATTTTTCTCTTCTTTTTTTGTTTTTTGTGTTTTTGATTTTTTTTAAACGTGCTGAATTTCATTTTCAAATTATGTAAGGACAAATTACAGGCTTAGCCCTTATTATAATACAAGTTGTTCATTCAAAGAAAAGCATAAAAAAATTTGTCCATAAAAAGCAATCTGTAATTACAATTTCAGCCATTAGAGGTCAGAATGTAACCATTAAAAATGTAAAGTCACCTTGTATCAGGTTGTAAGAATGTTTCGCTGTAATGATTGCAATTGTAATAATTACATCTACAATTGTAAAAAGAAGATAAGTATCTTAAACTATGAATGCCAAGTTAACACTAAGTTTTCTGTGAAGCACACTTAAAAGTGAAATTAGCATACTTCAAACTTGTCTTCCCTCTGACCTTCTTTATATATCTCTTGATGACATTGATGAGTTTATAAAAGAAAAATTGCAGCAAGTCTATTCAGTAATCTTCCTTCTCTCCATTCAGTAAGGGTACCTTCAGTTTGCCTTGGATGTGCATACTGCACACCAAAGTCATGAGTCATGCTAGTATCCACAATAAACGTGATTATTCAAATGCTCAGAATGTAAAATAAGTCATTAATTTAAATAAAATGCAGCAGTAGTGAATGAAGGTACTATCTTCGTTTGTTTGAGCTGAGCCAGCAGGGACTTTTCACTGTGAGAAACTGACTAATTTCCACAAAACATCATCCCCCTCTGTTAGCTGCAGGCTATGATAGACTGAGAACACTGTGTGTCCCATAAACAGGCAATAATAGCTGCAGTTATTATTATTAGTTGGTTTTCTGTGTTCCATGCATCATAATGCTGAAGTTAAAATCTTCTCCTGAAATCCCTCCATGCATCATGGCCATAATAAGCAGAAGGGATGATCTCAGCACTAACAGGCCTGCAACACTTTATTTGAAGTGGCGCTCATGAGGCATCATAACCACATTATGACCGCAAGTGCTCTAATATTAGAAAAACACGCAAGTGGGATTGAACACTTTGTGCTGAAGTTCGTAGCACTTTCCGCTAACACTGCATTAGGCATTGTGACACAATGTGGGTGCTCCAGAAGAAACTCTTGAGTAAAATATGGAATGGAATTCCTGCAAAAAAAAAAACCAACAAAAACTTCTGGTTGATTTGGTGAGCACGTAAACACTGACAGGTGAAGTATTACTCAAATCAGGAACAGAGTTAAAGTCACAAATAAATAACTTGAGGATTTTTGTGTCATTATTATGTAATTTTTGGCTGGGATAAACTTCTGGCATGATATGAATGGTGTTTTGACTCCTAACCAACATGTACCACACACCCAACATAGCTGCAGACCAAGCACACTCCTCCCCAGTGGTGCTCCCTGATGGCAGCTGCCTCGGACAGCATGACAGTGTATCCCCACTACACCGCAAACCTGCCCAGGAATGGCTGCAGGGAAACAGCCTAAAGTCTTTCAGCTGGCCTCCAAACTCCTAATCTGATCCAGAATCTGAAGGGTGCGCGTGAACAAGTCAGATCCATGGAGAAGCCCACAACCCACATGACCCAAAGCATCATCTGTCAGTGTCTCAGTGCCAAACTCTTCAGGAACCCTTCAGAGGTCCTGTGTCTACGCAAAGTAACATGATTCTACCCAGAATTAACCAAAACGTATTATACAGGAGAGGTGCTTGAACTCAGCATTAAGGTTAGGGTTAAGATTTGCTTTCCAGACAGTACCATGAAGACATTTTGGTCCTGCAGTTCTGCTGCCGTAAGTTTTTTCAAGCAAACAGGCAAAAGTTCCTTAAAACAAGATGGATGTTAACCTAAGCTCACTCCCACCCCTAACCCTGATATAAGTGACCCACACAAACCTGGCAAATGTTAAAAATTTGCCATAAATTCTAAACCCAGTACATCACACTGTATTTTGTCACATGCCACCTGCATCTCAGCACTGTGCACAAGATGTCTCTGGTTTTTTACATCTTCTTGCTTCAGTAATTTGTGTCTGCATGTGGTTTAGAAGGACCGTGGTTTGGCATAAAATAACCACTGGTGACCAGCTGAAAGTGACAGCCCAGTATCAGTAATACCCCAATCCAGTGAGTCACAGCCTGGACATCCTGAGGCCCTGAGACATGCTGGCAACTTTCACAAAATGGCATTACTTTACATATGAGTGAGAGCGCACCGGCTGTGAACCTGGAACACTTTGATGGACATTATGAAACTGAAAAACAAGATTGAAACTGATTGAAACTGTATGTTTAATAAATGGAATAAATGTTTAATCAAATGACACTGCTCAAAGCTAAATAAAAAGATGTAAAAGAATCAACCTGATATAAAATGATATAAAATGATATAATCCCCACATGCTGTAGAGGAAACTTTGCTAACATGTGTACATTTGGAAAGGCAACAGAAAAAACAGCATAAAACTGACATATTTTGTGATGTCTTTATCAAATTTGCAGTTGTTAATGTTGTTCGCACCTTTAGGTAGCGCTGACTTGTTCGTTTACATTTTGAACTGTACATTTCTACTAACTACACACAGCTGCTAATTAGGTTATTAGCAAGGTTTTTTTTTTTTGTTTGGTTTTGGCAGGACTTTAGTTATTTATAGAGTCAGCGTAGTTTAGGATCCTGTTGTCAACCTTAAAAATCCCAAAATCCCAGCTCTTTTTACCCCGAGGATAAAAATGCCACCTTCTCAGAAACTGCTGTAAAAATTCTTATAAAGTCATATTTTTTCCACTTTAAATGACTCGGTGTTTAAAACTACTTCAGCCTGAAACATAAATATCAAATATTATTTGTATTTAATCATATGTTTTGTGATTTTAACCCTTTAAAGGCCAGTATGTTTACATAGCTCCACTAATTTTTATCAAAAAAAACAACAACAAACCAAAAGTAATCTCCATAAAATACATTTTAAGGAGTAAATGATCCAATTAATTTTATCAGGTCCTAAGCTGGGTCAATGATTGGCAGCATTGATTTTCATGCATTCTTATTTTTTCAACAGTGTCAGAGAAAAAAAATCCTAATGAAAATAATGCCACCTTCCCACAAATGGCTGTAAAAGAATTATATAGTAATCATTTTTTCCACTTTAAATGACACAGTAAAACTGCTTCAGCCTGCAATTTAAATATCTAATATTAATTATGTTTTTTGGATTTTAACCCTATAAAGAGGAAGGACTCTAGGAGCTGAGGTGGAGCTGTAAATAGGCAGACATGTAAGCCTCCCACGTGGCGCTGCCAGCTCTTCTCTTTCTTTTATGTGCTGCAACTATCAAAAATAGTTTAACTTTGCCCAAAATAATCTCATGTAAGGCTCAAAGATGCCCATTTATTTTTCTGTTCACAGGATCAAGTCTGAATATGCATGCATGCATGTTTTGATTGATTTATTGTTTTTCAGGATGTGTTTACGTGTTTAACGCTGTGTAAAAAAGTAGTGCAAAAGTTCACATACCTTTTATTGCTGGGAGGGGGCCACACTAATGTTTCCAAGCTTTCACATATGTTCAAATTTACCTCATTTATTTCCTCTGCAGTGAAACGTCTATGTCAGACTGAATCATACGTTTCTGACACAGACTTTCCGTGATGAAGACAGAAAGACTCTGACAATCAGTTTGTTGCTCCAGGTTGCATCTAGAAGTGTTTCAGGTGAATCATCCAGCAGCAGACCCATGACTGTCTCCAAAAGGAAGTGAGCAGTATGCAGTTATGCAAACAGCACAGCAGTGGCAAGTTCAGTATGTCGCAGTTTTTAACCTGCAGTGGAACATCTGCCTGACCCATTTAAGGTCTGCTCAAGTGCATATGGACCTGTTTCCATGACTACATACTGGAAGTTGCCTTCTTAAATGAAAAAGCTGTCAAAATATTGCAAGACAAGAAAAGAAAATTTTGTGTACTGATGTATATTACATAATATCGCACAAGTACTGTTTTATTCTGTCATGTCTCACCAGTCAAAGAGTCTGCATGACAAAGTGTCATCACTTTAACAAACTGATGAAGCCTGAGAGGGGCTTTTCTTTCTGTTAATTGCTTTGCGTTTACTTGTGGGCGATCGTGGCTCAAGAGTTGGGAGTTCGCCCCGGCTTGGACAGTCTCGGTCGTTGTGTCCTTGGGCAAGACACTTCACCCGTTGCCTACTGGTGGTGGTCAGAGGGCCCGGTGGCGCCAGGCAGCCTCGGCTCTGTCAGTGCGCCCCAGGGTGGCTGTGGCTACAACGTCGCTTGCTATCACCAGTGTGTGAATGGGTGGATGACTGGATGTGTAAAGCACTTTGGGGTCCTTAGGACTAGAAAAGCGCTATACAAATACAGGCCATTTGTGTTCATTTTCCTGCTCCTTTCAGATCTTTTTTCATTGTTATTTTTGGTCTTTTGTGTCTTTGCAGCTGTTTTGCAGCTACTAGCGCTCTTTTTGTGTTTCTGTAAAGTCATCTGCTGACATCCCGCACTATGCAACATGCTCAGTATGTTTCCCGCCATGCATTTGTGTAAATAAACTGTGGTAAGTGTCCTTTTGGGCACACTCGACAGTATGTAAACTGACTTCTTGAGTTATGCTGCCAACTGGAGACCTGTGAATATTTCAACCCATCTTCATTTGAGATACACCAAGAAATTCTTTACAAATTCGAAAAGTATATTAGGTGTAGAAAAAAAATACATATATATTTAAACACTCAGATTATTACCGACGTTAGACTTTGACAGCCTTGATCGGTGTGCAGCACATGTGCATGGAATTGTGGGTTATTTGTTGTCCCGTGCTTGCATGCTCTGATATTCCCTTGATATATAGATTAGCTTTCATTTTGCTTGAGCTTCCTTGTTGTTTTGTGCCTCTTTTTCCACCTCGGGCTTCTTGCAGTGTCTACATGTGTCAATCAGAACTGATTTAAAACTTTATTGACACACACATTTGGGCTTGCTGTTTTGAACCACCTCTATGTTCAGGCTGGAAATGAAGGATTTGTCTGTTTTCAGTGGTTTTCATTATCTGGCTAGTAAAGTAAAGCCCTTGATGCTAATCCTGTGGTATCAGAATATGTAATTTGGGGCTTTTGGAAATTGTTCCTGCAAGTCGTGGCAACTAAAAGAAAAAATGTATGTAAAAAGTGTTTCATAAACTGTTGTTTATATTTACAACATAGTTAGGTTTAGGGTTTGACTTCTCAGCATGAAATTAGACCTCGTAGTGTTGATTTATTGTTAGTTACTAATCCTATCTCATTATTCTTGACCTGCAGGCTTCATGACTCAGGCAGTCTAATGCACAAACAAAGATTTTAAACTCTTACCCCATACTCATTGCCTTTTAAATGTTTTCTCTCTGGAAACTATCAGATTGGGTTCTGGGAAATGTTGTTAAATGTTAAATGACAGAGTGAAATAGGTTGAAAGCAGATACCTCGCATTCAGTCCTAAAATAACTCCTGGAAGGGCGGGGGGGGTTGTGTGCTGAACATTTCTGAGCGATGTAAGAGTGTTATCCTGAAGGGATCAGCAACAACACCATGTCCCAGTAAAACACATGCAGGTTGACCATGAAACCCACTTCTCCTGCTGGAGAAGTTGAATCTGGGTCACAGAATGAAAGCTGAAAATGGTCTGTCATCTAGCACAATTTATTCCACCATTTGTTTACAGTAGCTTTGTAAATGCAGTTTGTATGTTGATTCGTAGTAGTCTTCACACATCAGCTCTTGGCATTCTGAAGAGTGAGTAACACCCCACATGACTGGAATATTAAACAAATATTGTTAAATATGAACAAATGAATAAATAAGCCCCGTTCAGCGGCTCCACAGTGGGACTACAGAGTCCTTTTAAGGGTCTGAGTGGCTCACGTCTCCCGTCGCAGACAGCCAGACCTGCTCTAGCAGAAATACAATGTGGGGAACCGACAGTCGCAAAGACCAAGAGGCGCCTTTTCAGTTGCAAGCACACATGCACGAACAGTCATGGATGGATCGTGAGCCAACAGGCCCGCGGGCACAGGCTTGTAAAAGGCCTCCACCAAGGAAGACACAAAGAAACGACAAAAGACTTTAACTGACACGGTCGTCGCTGTTGTCCACCTCTGCTCGTCTTCAGGGTGCTTCTGCGTTTGTTCCTCCATTGTGTCCATTTATTTCTCTACCTGGTCCTTTTTTTATTTCTTTAAAATTCTTGGGGGTTTTTTTACATCATTTTAAATTGTTTTAGAAATTCTGATTTTCATTTGTTTTTGTGGAATTATGAATTTCTTTGATTTAATTGATTATGAATGTCCATGTTGCAGTTTTAAATTATTTAGAGTCAATTTTTGGCTGTTTGGAAGTCATTCTAATCTCTCAGTAGACATTTTGAGCCCATTTAAAAAAAATTCTAAATGTTTTGATTCATTTGAGTCATTTTGAGTATTATAAATTATTATGCGTCTGTAGTTGTTTTTTCTTGTGTCATTAATCTGTCTGTGGCTGTTTCAGGTCATTTTGAGTCCCTTTGGTAGTCGTGGCTGTTGTTTTGAGTTATTTTTGAATCTTTCTACGTCATTTTTGAATCATTAGTGTCTCTTTGTAGTTGTTTTCAGTCATTTGGTAGCCACTGAAGTTAGTTTAAGTGTCTTTGCAGCAGTTTTAAATCATTTTAAGTCTCTTTGTTGCTGTTTTGAGTCAGTCGAGTCTGTCTGTAGCTGTTTTAGGTAGCTGTGGGTCTCTGATTTGGATCTTTTCAAATTTCTTTGGAGCTGGTTTTAGAATATTTTCAGTTTCTTTTTATTTATTTGTTCCATTTTCAAATTGTTTGGGTCTTTTTGAGTATTTTCAAGTCCTCTTATTATTTATTAGCAAGAAAAGACAGACTCTGGACCGGGGTTATCTGACTCCTTGGGCCTTGGTGCTGTGCCCAGTGGGCCTGTTCAGAAATCCTTCCATGCAAACAGTCATATGCACAGAGACACTCATTCACACTGGCTCTTACTCGAGGCTCTCACAAGAAAATGACTAATCATGATCACATGAAAAATCTGGCAGATCTTAAAAGAAAGAGCCGAGAGAGGTTACAAGTGAAATTTACAATATGTCATGTCGCTTCTCTGTAGCTGTAAACATCAGCAAAGTAAAGGGAGGACTGCCAGTCGCACACACGGGGAACATGGACAGCTACACTGTAAACATTTCAAAACACACACGGCACTGTCTCAGTCAGCCCTCTACGATAACCTTTCATGCTGCCTCACTCACTCACTCACACACACACACACACACACACACACACACACACACACACACACACACACACACACACACACACACACACACACACACACACACACACACACACACACACAAGGCTTCAGCAAAAGCTACATTGTCACCAGTCCACGCATACACACACACCCACATAGTGTACATACACATACCAGGTGAAGCCTGACAGTGGAGCATCCCAAACACACATATCACACAGTAGGAGCATAAACTACATCGCTGGCTCCTTCTGGCCTCCCAGTCAGGACTGCTCCTTTCCACCAAGCCCCCAGTCCCTCTTACCAACCCATACATACAAGACAAGCTGACGTCCCAGTTTGACACTTTTGACTCTTTCTGCCTGCCCAGGTATGCGTGAACCACATCTAAATAGCACTGCGGAGGCTTTAAATTAATTATTTGAGTCATATTGGTGAGGAAGAGTGCAGAACTGAGGCAGGAACTATGAGAAAAGAGCACACTGGGAGCCAGTCTGTTATGATAGGACATCACCAAGTTGACGTCCTATTGAGATAAGAGGCCCACCCACTAATGTACAAGTCTTTTTCTCATAGCGAGCTCCTGCAGCTCAACAATCATCCATTTGCCGGTTTTCTCCTTCTCCTCCTCCTTCCATATCACTGGTTCCCTTCCTTCTTCCTTCCTCCGCTCTGCTTCCACTCCTCTTCCGAGTTAAGGCCATGGGAGGGCTGGACACAAGTAACTGACAAGCCTGAATCCAAAGATGTGATGTAAGGCCTGCGAGGACCTGAGCGTGTCAGGGAAGCAGCTGGCCGCGGTTGAGTCAGAAGGGGAGCTGAGGCCAACTAAGCCCTTTAAGGGACTCTGTTAGCTTGAAGAGGTGCGAAGGATGAAAGGAAGGGTGGTGGGTTCTCAGCAGTATCATCAGCAGATGTAAGATGGAGGGAGTGAACGATGGTTCGACAGTTACGCTTTTTTTTTTCTTTTGGTTCAGTTCTCAAGGAGTAATTATTTTGGTAGGATGATGGATTCTGTCAGGATACGTAAGTGTTGATCACTTTGATTGTTTCACCAGATTTGGTTACGCCTGTGTCCAGATATCCCCGGCAGGACCACGAGATGTCCTGTAACAGACAAGAAGGTCAAGAAACAGAAAGAGATTTTACTCTTTGGTATGTATGCCTCATTTTCAGTCTGTCCTGATCAAATCCACCATTTAAGCAGCAGTAAAAAGACAACACTGGCTCTTTTGCACACTGTACACACATTTCGTCTGTAATATTTGGCCTTCTGAGTGTGTTTCTTACCTTGAACAGTATTCAGAGTGGGCCCGGTGGTCAGTCAGTCAGAGGGGTGTTCAGGGCAGGACCGATTGATCTCAAACCATGAGTCTATACAGCTGCAGAAACAAACAGAAGGCATGACGCTGCATCCTGAATGCAGCTACAAACACAGAGTGAACTTAGTGCGATTACTTGATCTATGCAGCTGATAAAAATAGAAATTTGATTAAGCGTTGAGAGCTCATAAGAACACAATTGAATTATACTGCAGTCTAAGATGGATTCAATACTACAGAGGGTTGTTGCTAAAGTAACACGTAGGCATGTTGGAAGGCCTCCATATCCTCCCACATTAGCAATACATACACAACATGCAACTTATACTGTAAACGAGACCCAGGGGGGAACACAAGAGCGGCACTAATGTGCATTCTTTCTCAACTTGTAACATTTTACATTCTCGCTGTGTTTATGGAAAAGTTTGCAATAAAACACCCCATAAGTCTGTGTGTGGGTGGAAGGACATCTTTTGTTTTAAGCAGCAATTTAAGCACCGTAAAGTATAAAATGCTACATTACAAGTAGAAATACATGAGGTGCAACCATCAAAATGTTTTTTAATAACCAAAAAAAGCAGCTGTTTTGCAAAGCAGCTCCAAGCATTTTACCAGGATTTTATATAAGCATGGTACCTTTTTAAAAATTACTACAGTGAAGGAAAAAGATGATTTATGTAACATTTAGGAGCATATGAATCCAACACTTGAAGGGTAACAGCTATAACAGTAACACAGGTATGAATTTTTCAACAAAACACCGTACTTACACCATATTGGTAATATTCACTGTTTTTAACACACGTCACATATAAGCTGGAACTGAAAAACATAATTTGCTGGAAAAACTTGATTTGAGAGAAAAGTAAGGAAAATAAAATAAACTGATATATTGCATTGCTGTCTTAAAATGACTGACTTTTGTTTTCAAAACGATACTTCAGAATCAATGTGGCCCTGTGGAGCTGTGCCCCAGATATATAAATTCAGAGGCTAAAAGTGAAAATTCTGTGAGTAAATGTGCCCCATGTGACATTTTGATCACAATCACAAAGCAAACAGCGCCCATCATCCACAGTATGAATGATGATTACTCTTATTGCGAAACCTTGGGGAGAGTGTTTTTGCTGCTGCGTCTCGGTGTTTCGACACAGGACACTACGAGGCAGGGGTGGAGCTAACTGTGAAACTGCACTCTCATTGGCTAACAATTTCTGAGTGATTAGTTGTTGAGCGATGAGCATACGCTGGATGAAACTCCTTTTTATTACTTCTATACAACCAGAAGTCTTTTTGGAACCACAGCAGTCGCCCCCTGCTGGCCAATAAATAAAAGAAACGTAGTTAACTTAGTTTACCGCTCTTTTCCTTTAGCTTCAGTTTTGACACCTGGATATGCCTCTTTTATATATATATATATATATATGTAGTTTCTGTTTTTCATTTGCTACGCTTCAAACATCTGTTGGAGGTATTGGTTGGAAAAAGGCACTATCATCAGAGTGCATCCAGTTGTAAATCCATGACTGCGTAGTCAGCATGCATCATATGGAAAAAACAGGCTTCCCTGTAAGAAAAGCTAAGATGTTGTTTTACTTGTTTGAATTGTCAGTACCTTATTTATAAAAATCAAAAGTCTGGGCTTTTATGTCTAGAAGCAGGTGAGACTCATTTTTTTGAGCAGCTTACTTACTGACCCGGAGTCTAATGTATACCTGATCCCAGTGCTAGCTTATATAAACTGTGTGAGCACAAGCTAATGTGTGTAAGAAGATGGTAAATGCAGTTCACTTAATGATGTCATTAATAACAAATGTTTTTTTTTTTTCTTTTCTGGAAGTTATGCTGAGCTGCATTATAAAAGTTTTTAACTCTTAGACGCAAGAAAACAATTCAGACATGTAAATTTGGGCTTTAGGGTCTAATGGCTGGCTAATGATGAGTTACAGCCTTGCAGTTATTTACTAAACACACGCAAAAACTTGCAGGCGTTTAGCTTAACTTTATGACAAATGAGCTCAATATAATGTAAAAATTATTAAGGTCATGATGGAGGATATTCTCCTGGGAGGAACAACACAAACAAACAGAGAAAATAAAAGAAACAAAACACGATTCTCAGAACGGTTCTTTAGTTTCATTTAGGAGTTGCTCTCTGCTTACACTGCTGGTAGAAAATGTATGGACGGAGTACTTCTCCTGGGTAATATACTATATAGCCACCTTTATTTTGAAAATATAATTCTGATTACATTACGGTGACAAACTCAGTGAACCCGGGACTTTTGGGACTTCTAGGGATCAATAGGCAGTTGCATAAGGCTTTTCCATTCGTATGTGGTAATCATCTCAAGCCATCCAGATAATGTGACAGTGATATATCAGTGTTTAGATATGCTATCATTCAATAGTATAATATGAATAACCTTTAAATCAAAGGCACAGGACCCGTCCATCATTAAGGAATGCCTTTATCGAGATGCTGTAAGTCGATTTAATTAGAAGAAGTGCAAAATTATATAACGGGCAGTGATTCAAATGTGTGTGTGTGTGTGTGTGTGTGTGTGTGTGTGTGTGTGTGTGTGTGTGTGTGTGTGTGTGTCATTCACCTTTTGTGGTAGATGCAGAGGCACGGCAGTCTGGCTATGGTGTCCCCTTGCTGCAGTTCCTCTAGACATATCACACACTCACCGGCATCCCTCGCCAACACATCATCTGAGGTGGCAGCCGCACACAGACACACACACAGCAGAAGACGAATCAGTATGCACCAAAAACATTTCAGAGCATATCAAACACAGTAGAGAGCAGTGGGGGGGAGCAGATTGGTGCATCGCACACAGCAGACACAGCTTAGTGGTTACCGTTCGCTCCGTGCAGCAGTGAACATGCACGAGAAGGAGTTTGGAGATGAATCAGGAGCTTCGAGTCTGTTTCTCCTTGTGGAACTG